GTAATTACGTACTAACAAACATATAGGAGGATCACATGGGCGCCCACTACCAATCGTCGCCGTACGATCGGGGAAGACACTCCTTGGTAGGGGATGTAAGATTCAGAGGCCCATACCGTGTCTCTGCATGGTGGTCGGGCCTAATGCACTACATGTTCCTGGACGAGCCGCGCACATGGAACCTAGTGGGAGAGCCGGCAGCCACAAGCAGTACTGTTCTGGCTTATGACTTTGCCCATGGTTTCCACGTTGAAAAGCTTATGGACCTCCCGCACAAAAGGAGTGCACTCATGATGGTTAACAGGGAGAAGTTCTTCACTCTGAGCCCATTCACATGGGATGGAGAGAAGAAGGTCAGGCCGAGTCTCGACGCAGGTGCCAAATTGTAATTGATCACGTAGCGCTTTTTCCCTTTGATATCTCATAATAACACATCATCAATCAATACTATACACGACAATATGCAATCGTTGGAACACTCACCATCCGTGCATGCTGCTTCTCCTGAATTCCGGAATGCTCATATTCTAGAGTATGTGTAGCTTCGTCTGTACCAGGGGACGACTCATACCCGACATTAGAGAGTATTTGCATGTCCGTCACAAAACATGTGATGACAGCCATGCCCCCCCCCCCCCCGCGCTGCATCCCACATGCAAAATGCGGATCAGACATTTAGCCGCAAATTTTTATCTGATCCGTCCTGTGCGTAGCGCCACAAGAGGGTGTGAACTGGCCGTGCGAGCAGAACCGAGCGGCCTTATTGCTCGGATATTGGCGCACTAATCCGACGATGGGGTGTATGGGAGTGCGGTGGTGGATTGCAAGACGTAACGGCATTGCAGCCGGCAAGTCCCAATGGGCATAGCCACTCCACTTGATGTTTCCAACTTGTGCAAAGCTCCGCGAGAAAAAAAAATTTACTCGAAGCGCCAGCATGACGTGACAATGCCTGATGAGGCAGGCCAGCGGATCTGATAACGCTCCATGATGTTCGCCCAGCCACTAGTCGGTCTTCCCAGCCGACCCTGTCTCCACGCAATACCCCATGTGGCGACGCTAACTTTTGATCTGATAAAAGTTACGTTTGATCTGATAAAATTTTGCAACGTCAATGCGCCCACTATTGAAGCATTCCATTCGACCCTCACCGACATCGCACCAGCCATGAGCGGTAATTGATCTTATCAGATGAGATGAAAGGCGGTCCTTCGCTGGCTGCTGTGACGACAGGGATGAGCACGCCCCTTGCTGTCACCAGACGCGGCTAGAACTTCGCGGCTTGACGACGGCTTTGGACGATCGCCCTTCCTTCGAAATAGGATCCTCGCCATCGTGTGGAGACCCATGCTGGGCCATGCCGTGGCGCTGCTAGTTGCATTGTGTCGGAAAGAGCAGGAGATAAGCTGGTGGATCATTTGACTCTGTAATGTCGATACTTCTCGTACTCTCTACACTACTCCGGATCAAGCATCATCCGACCCGGGCAATGCCTAACGCCCTTGTGCGTGTGTGTCCAAGACGCAGGAAATGTGGCACACAGGATGGCTCATTCCGCTCTTGTCCTTAGATCCGAGCAATCGGCGAAATACTCATCATCACCCTCGTTGCTACCGGGGGCAAATTGAACCAGAAAGTGCCTTGAGGGGTTGGCATCAGTCTTTCGATTGCTTCCAAGTGCCATACGACACGGCTTCTTTTCGGTATCTCACGTCGTTTGTGTTCCATTGCCTATGTGCCCAGTTGATTGATCCCATTCATCACAACTGCTATCGAACAATTCACTTCTTCTTGATTCCTTGGCCATTATTGCTTGTTATGCTACCAATATTTTGCTATAGCAAGAACCAGTAAGAACCCCTAGCCATAATGGCGGAAATCTACGACCAATCTCGAAACGACGCTTTGCATCGTCTCAACCAAACACTTCTCCAGATCGACCCTTACGATCTTCCACCATATCCCAACCTTTCCATCGTCACAGGGCCCCTCGACCCGCCACTGGTTCAATTAACACTCTCTCAACTACTCCAACAACAAGCCGCACATTACCCCAGCAACGAAGCTGTCGTCATACCATGGACTGGTGCGCGTTGGACGTACCAGAAACTATGGGCAGAATCAAGCTTGTTGGCCAGAGCGTTGTTGAAAGAAGGAGTTCGACCAAGAGATAGGATAGGTATCATGAGCGGGAACTGTGAAAGGTACATTGCATTATTCTTTGCCTGTGCAAGAGTCGGTGCGATATGCGTCACTCTCAACAATACCTATACTGCAACGGAGATGGAGTTTGCTTTGAAGCATACAAGTACGTCTTTTTTCCAAACATCAATCCCAGAAATCTTTTGGGAAGGCTAACGAAAGCAGAGTGCAGAATTCTATTCACTACCCCTAACATTGCCCGATTCGACAACATCCCATTACTGAAAAGACTGAGTCAAAAAGACATAGCATCAGTTCTCCCAGATCTCAAGACCGTATGTTTAATACGAGGTCAAAATGACTCCTTTACCACTTACTCTTCGTTCATCGACAACGCTCAATACATTCCCGAGCACATCCTCGACATCTTTGACGGCATAATAAGTCCTCATGACGTAGCAAACCTACAGTTCACCAGTGGAAGCACAGGCAAGCCAAAAGCAGCCATGTTAACACACTAGTTAGTCTTCTCCCTTCCCTTCTTCTTTCCTCCACACGCTTCGATGTATGCCCAGCCAAACTAACAAACTCACCCCACAGCAACCTCATCAACAACTCCCGCTTCATCGGCGACCGCATGCAACTCAGCCCCTCGGACACCCTCTGCTGTCCACCTCCCCTCTTCCACTGCTTCGGCCTCACCCTCGGTGTCCTCGCCGTCCTAACCCACGGCTCCACCATCGTCTTCCCAGCCGAAGCCTTCGACCCCATCGCCTGCATGCACGCCATCTCCACCGAGAACTGCACCGCGCTCCACGGCGTCCCCGCAATGATGGAATCCATAATGGACGTCCCGCGCCCCGCGGGCTGGCAAAGCAAACTACGCACTGGCATCGTAGCCGGCAGTCCCGTTCCCAAATGGCTCATGGAGCGCATGGTCTCCGAACTCGGCATGACGGACTTTACATCCTCGTACGGACTCACAGAGGCAAGTCCAACCGTTTTCAATGCTCATACTACGGATTCGCTGCATGCCCGCTTGACTACCGTCGGTACCGTGCTGCCGCATGCCAAAGTCAAGATTGTAGACCGCAACGACCGCGTTGTGCCCATTGGCGTGAGAGGCGAGCTTTGCGTCGCTGGATACCAGGTTTGTAGAGGTTATTGGGAGAACCCGGAAAAGACGGCTGAGCTTATTGTCAACGATGAGTATGGCGAGCCGTGGTTGCATACCGGGGATGAGGCGGTGTTGGATGTCGATGGGTATTGTACGATTACGGGGCGGTTCAAGGATATTATCATTAGAGGTACGTTTTTGTCTTTTGTCCTTTCTATGTACTGAGAAGTGCTGATGTGTGTGAAATAGGAGGCGAGAATATATATCCTCTTGAGATTGAAGAGCGGCTTGTTGAACACCCGTCTATCGCACGTGCGATTGTCGTTGGTGTTTCGCATCCCCGCTTGGTGGAAGTTCCTGTGGCGTTTTTGCTTCACGAGACAGATACGCCGAAACCTGATCTTGCTGACGTACAGGGCTGGGTCAGGAAAGTGCTGGGTAGGCATAAGGCCCCCGTGCATATCTTTTGGTTGGGAGAGGATTGCGATGCTGAGGTTCCGCTGACGGGTAGTGGCAAGATTAGGAAGTTTGTACTCAGAGATGTTGCGGAGAATTTGCTGAAGGAGAGGTAGATTGTGTTTTTTGTACATATAGCGATGCGTTTTAGGTTAAAATTAGAAATAAACTCGGATTAGTGGCTTAAGAATATCATTCTAAGTTGTAATGTGGTATTCTACTTTGTCAAGATCCTTATTGTTTGTTTTGTATGCCGCTGTGAGCAATTATTCCAGAATGTTTGGTTTGATTGCATACACGAAAGGTTGTCAGCACAGCTCGTGGAAGATTCAGTAACGACACACTTGGTTAACAAATGTGTCTCTTCAGCGGCAAAAGCGTACACACCGTTATTTACACTTCTCAATTGTCAACTGAATTTGTCTTCAATCAATCGCTTCGCCTTACATGACGAGAAATATCCAGTTACTGTTCGAAGAGTTTCGTATTCCAAACATGTTCCCTAGAACATAGCTGTGCAAACAGTGATGTTCGCATTCAATATTCAAAGCTCGTATCTATGTGTAGCAGGTCATATCGGTATTTGATGTTTGAAAATGACGAAGACAAAAAGCCTTGATTCATTTTCTCGCTTCGCGCCTCTGATTCGATGAAGGGCTAGCTGTAGAGAACAACTGGTGCATTGATATGTAATCGCATATGGTAGACTACGTAAAGTTCCTTTCGCTATTTGAGAATGATGCATTGTATTATCAATTTGTTTCCCATTTTATAGGCCATGAAACTGAAGTCAAGAACTATTACATACAACTTGATCGTCTGATATAGTACGCCAATCGACTTGGCCATTTCGTTCAGTGAAATTTTGCATAGTGAACCCATATCGCCCGCTGCAACATGGTATTTATGAATTACTGAGATCTTGCGTGACGTCCTTTACTGAATCTGCACATACTGACTTTCATTGACCAGAGTTGCGGCTACAGAACTGATGTAAATGCCTTGGTGAATATGTTGTATGCGGACGTAGTAACACATAATAGGGAAATGAGTTCCATAGTAGCTCCTACAATCTCATTGTTGGTTCTCAGCGATTAGGACAGTGCAAGTGAATTGAAAAGGAAGTAGCTACATCAAACACCCACATTCACTTCCCGCCTTCACCTCAATCGTCACTTCAACCCTTCACCCGCTACACTACCACTCACACACACACACTTTTACTACAAAGGTAACAGATCTTTTATTTCTCTCCCCCCATTACATCATTTACCACCAACTCAAAATGCCACGACCCTTACTCCCAAAACCGCCTCGCCCCTCACCCGCCATCGACGCCTCCGCACCATCACCAGTCACAACCCGCTTCGGCCGCCGCGTAATCCCACCACGAGACCTATCCCCCCCAGCCAGCAACCCACCCTCGCAACCCTCTCAACCACCTCAGACGCCCCAAAAAGTCACCACCACCACCACCACCACCACAAAGCTCCCAGCATACTACTCGCTCGCCCCCAGCGTCCCCTCCCCCTTCACCGGGTCCCTAGAAACAAGCCTCGATGCAATCCTCGCCTTTGGCCAACTCTACGCCGCAATCCCCGGCGTGACACCTCTCGTAACCGCACTTCTCGAGCCCGTCTCCCCTCACACAGACTGGATCGGTATCCTCTCGGCCCTGGAAACAGCAACATCGCTTCACTCCCGATACTTGATGACGGAGCTCCTATTCCTTCTCACACGCACACTGTTGCCCGAGCAAATCGCCGAGAACAGAGCGATGCTGGAGCGACTGTACGACCGCAAGAAGCAGCTTGCGATGCGGCTTTTGCTAAGGTACGATATGCTGCGTGAGTGGAAGATGGAACCGAATCCCGCGTCGTATCGCGAGCAGCCGGTTACGGTGGCGTCGGTGGTTCCGGTGCCTGGGTTCGTGGCGCCGGAGCCTGTCGTCGGTGTTGCGTCGCCGCGGTATCCGTATCGGAGGCCGTTGCTGTTGAATGTGATTCCGACCTTACTTGCGGGACCGGTGGGGGGGTATGCGTCGCAGAGTGTAAGGGATCGCATGAGGCATCATGTTACGGTGTTGGATGGGTATCTTATGCTTGGGGATGAGGAGGTGGAGGGGTGGAGTGATGGGAGGGTGAAGAGTACAGTGTGCTTTGTGTTGATGCATTGGCAGTGGTTGAGGGGGAATAACGATACGTTGGATGATTTGGAAATGATGGATTGGGAGGGGTTGGAGGGGAAGGCGGAGGAGTGCGGGTGGATTGGGGATGATACGACGAGGGTGCCTACAGGGAGCAGTGTGAAGAAGGAGTTGAAGTCGCTTGGATAGGAGAGGTTGACTTCTTTGCTTGAATAGTTCAGGAGAGGTCTATTATTTGTAGAAGGCTATGGGTTTGTGCAACAGTCGGCTAGGGAAGACATGGTTGCGAGGGTAGTAGAAGTCTAGTGCGCATTACAAAGCTTCATGCTGGTGGACGCTGCTGTTCCTTGTCCAGCGACGGAAAGTCTTGCCCTTCCACCAGAAGAGTATACCAAATGAACACCAAAGTGTAATCAAAGCTGCGTTAGTCATGATAGGCGGGATGAAGCTGGGGCCGTTAGTAAATGCTATCAATACAGTAGAAGTTGCTGAACTTACCCATCGTTAATAGACCAGGGAGTAATGAATTTTCCCATTCCGTAACCCCAAAGATTCTTGTTGACTGTTACTGCAACGAAAATTGATCCTGCTACAGGCTTGTACGAGTCAACGGCATAAGTGGTGGCGATACCTGGCAAAGCAGCGACCTGGATACCAGCGCATGTATATCCAACAATGACAATGACTTCCCACGCCCACTTGCGCTCATACCCAATTGAGACGACAATGTTTCCGATAAGCATGATGATGACGTAGGGAATCATAGCTGGCAATCGCATCTCGGGCTCACGGATGCCATTGTTCCTCCTTGTGCTTCGTAGCGACACCCAATCACTTAGTGGTCCAGCAGTGAAGAGGCCAATGATAGCACCGACCATAACAGCAAAGTTGGTGAAACCAACAGATACAGGCTTGAAGTTGTACGGCGGTGCGGCAAACACTTGGCTTTGCGTGAGATTGAGGGTGAGAAAACTGGAACATGACCAGCTGGCAACGAAAGCAGCAAACTCTACAATGGGAAAAGTAAAAAGTTTCCACGGAACCCAGATCTCAAGAAAGATGGTGCGGAAAGGGTTCGCATTTGGTTGGAATATCCTCCATTGCCACTTAGCAGGTTTACCCTTGCCGAGATGCGGATCGCGCCGTTCGGTTTCGGACATGGTGAGGTCCTTATTGGCAGTCGAGATGGCAGTCTCAGCTCTCTGGATATCGTTGGCATCCTGCTCTGTGTCCGAATTGCCAATCTCCTTTTGAGTGGATGTTTTGATTTTCTCCTCCAGAGAAGGTGTCTTCTCTTGGCCCTCTTGCACGGGTGCAGCACGCCTGTATCTTGTTTCCGGAAACGCGAAGACGCACATGAGGAACGAGAAACCCAAGAGGGCGGCGTTTAGCCACCAAAAGTCGCGCCACCCGACTGTCTCTGCCATGGAGCCAGACACGATCGGGCCGACCATGAGTGAGCCCATATACACTACCCAGTATAGGGTGTTCCACTTGCCACGGTCGTGCAAAAAGAATATGTCGGCAATGACCTCAGGCATGGTGGTCTCTGCAGGGCCTGCACCGATACCGTTGACGATACACGCGCCCATGAATGCGCCATAAGAGTTTGCCTTTGCGCGCCATATCGATGTGCCAAAGTTGATGAGCTGCGACAAAAGGAGTACGGGACGACGACCGAAAGAGGAGCTTATGGGGACCCTGACGTAACACCCGTTAGCCACCACACAAAGTTGACGGGGAATCGGGACGCTCACCAGATAAAATTACTGAAACCCAGGACAAGAATACACACGCCCGTGAATTGAACAGCTCCAGCCAAGTCTGTATCAAAAGCTTTCATAAGGGCAGGGAACATAGGCGAAAGAGCCAATGGACCGAATCCTTGAGAGAATGTAGCTACGGCTACCGATGCGATTGTAGCCGCCTTCCACGCGGGGCTCCAGTTGAGTGGATCGTTTGGATCATCACTGGGCTGCGGAACCAAGACTACAGCATGGTCGCCTTTGACGAAGTGGTGTGAGCCGACATCAGCCATGACCTCCGTACCGGGGAGAATCTCGGTATGCAACTCTTCCTCGAGTTGATGCCGCTCCTGAACACTGTCAGTAATGCGCTCAACAATAACAAACTAAGAATAGAAATCTTACATCTTCATTATAGTCGCGAGACGCCATGATGGCGGAGTCCGGTCTGAACCTTCACACAATCGAGGTGGCAATAGGGTTGCGTGAGCGCTGTTCGAGGCACCTTGTTCTTGACGGTTGATTGGGGAGGTGAGGACTTTGTTTGCAGGCCAGTTGTTTCAAAAGGTTATGGTCCAATTAAGCACTACTACTGCCCCGGTACCACTAGACGGGCCGCAGCTGACAGATACGGGAAAGAATTACGCCGCAATCAACTCCGGATGAAATGTCGATATTGGCGAATGGAAATAAGTTGAAACTCGTTGAAAGCCCAAAGACGGTGCCTTGCAGAGCCAACGCGGCCTTTCGGGAGGTTGGTGTTGGGGGGAGCACCCAGTGGTCAGGTCGTGCCGTCTTCTGCGATATGTGATGGAATATGTGATGAAATGAAAGATGCAGTAAGCCAGTTCAACGCACCTGTGAAACTGCGAACAGGATGCATGTATCAGACAACTGCGAACAGTATACATATATTTGACATTCGGTCATGTTTTCATAAGGTCTGGATTCACCGAGAGCTTCGAATGCTTAGTTAGTTTTGGTGATTGGTCAATATCGAGTTAGACCGAATGGAGGACCGAGCGGATGACGAGCCATGACACGGCAGATGCATGGACACATGCCACTGGCTACAAAGTCGACGCGAGCGCCCCCAAATACATTCTAGAGGGTACGGTACTTGGGAAATAAGACGACTTCGCGATTATCGTGCCGTGAGTGTCCAATTGCCGAGTTGGAGTTGAGTGGACTGGCATACCCGTGCTAAGCAGCCGATGCGGGGAAAGCTGGGGGATGCCCCACCAAGCGGCGACCTAAATCAGCCGCCACACTCACTCTCCCATAGAAAAAGTACATAAACACGTGCTTTGCAGCCTCAATGTCGGAGTCTTTCCTCGGTAGTAATATTGCTGACAAAATGACATGTAATAGACGGCACAACAACCTGCCGTGCCAGCATGTGCGCCAGTTTAACTAGTGGCCTAAAGTGGCGGTTGTAAGTAAGATTGGGGTTGTGCGGCCCCTGATATGTCCAGGGCCGTTGGGCGGTAAACGACAACAACAACAACAACAAGAAGAAAAAAGACGTCCGTGTTATTCTGTGGGGAAATGATGTGCAAGCAAGAAATCCTGGGGAAATCCTCATGCTCTATAAGTTTCATTTGCCGTTAAATGCACTGCATGGGTGTGCTCAACAAGCCTAATTTATTGGGCATTGAGCTGGGCGCCTAACAAGATCAACACCAACACAAGGTGACGAAACTACCAAGACGTACTTCTGAGACTCTGCCCCGATGTTTCAATACTCACTTGCATTGCTTGATATCTCTTTGCACTGGAGATTATGCACCTAAGCAATGTTTGCCACGTGCTTTCGTAGGGCACATGACAGCTGTCAGCTGTCAGCAGGCTGGGCCCTTCAGCCACACCCACACAGGCTTGCATATACTACTTTAATATGTACATACGCCAAGGTCGGTCCTGATCCTGGACAAAGTTAGCGCATCTGAAGACATCGCATGTAGGATCAAACGTCCCTCAGAATTGAGGCATGCGACACCAATAACGGCCGAGTCCTCCAAATGCATGTGTCATTATACTACCCAGAATGATCGACCGATTTGCTGGGCTGGACCGTCCAACTATGAAACTATAAGACCAGCAAATATAGCGTAGGTACACTTGTTTTATGGTCTGTGACAAAAGTACCTGCTGTTTTTGGATCACCCGATACATCTCAACAAAATAAAACATGAGAGCCAAGGGAGCTGGGGATTGCATAAAACTGTTTGGTTGGCATATCGACTTCTGCAAGCTTGGGAGGGGCAAAAAAAAATGTGTTGAATCATAGGAAAACAGGTTGTAAAGGGTGATGAAAGTGAGGGGCAAGTGCAGACGCATAATGTAAGTACACGTCGCTATAGCTCGAAAACAAAAAAGGGTCAGCCTGCAGTTTAATAAGACGGGAGTATTATAGTGTGGCCTTGCAAGGTTGATTTACTGGTTGGAAATCCGGGAGTGGCAGCTACGAACGAATACCGGGTGAGCAGGAAGACAACTATACCCGTTTTGGATGGGGGAGGGACTATAGTATGTGACATCACTTCTCCAAGTCTTCAGGGTCTTTTCGAATAGCAAACTCAAAATACGATATTTGGATTTGTAGTAGGAAATATGCCTCATCAGCTTACATGTATAGAGTGGAAAGTAATTGCAAGGAACACACGCATGGTAAATGTAACTGTAGAGATACGGAGGTTACATTCTTTCACAATACCTGAGAGTGGCATTATGCGATGCGTGATTTCAAGAATTAAGTCTGGTTTGTTCAGTGATCTCATGTTCCTCTTTGTTCCGGAAAATTTGGAGAACAGCACGGTAAAGAATCGTATACTCGGTCTCTCTTATACTTTGAAATCCAGTATCTCATACAACAATGATTGTCTGGATATAGAAAGCATGCTGGCTTAATTGTTCCAGGTATTACTAAGAGCTTAAAGTGACCGTCAAACGTGAGGCGTTGAAAGCTTACTGACTGATTTCATGCATCTCATTGAGTGGATGGAGCAAACTCGGGCGAAAGTGCGCTGTAGGTATGGTGATTGGTTGAGCAGATCCCCGGGGGTGCATGACATACATACTGTGTAGTATCTTATGACCCGTTTTAGTTGTGATAGAACATTGCTTAATAGAGTGTTAACTGTAAAGTATCTTCTCAAGGGTTGAATAGTTGTTGGTGTTTTGGTTTTGGATACAGCATACTGTAACAGGACACTATCACTGTCTCTTCGGCTGTGAGAAGCAGGCGCAAGGAGCACTCTAGTTCTTTGAGTAGATACATCTTTAAGCAATGGGTATGCTGAATTGATTGGCCATGTAAGCTGTGGTATTGCTTGTGTGAGGAGCCATATGTATTCGATAGATGGGAGTACAAATGTGAGGAAGGACTCATTGGTGTCACTTACCGATTTACATTCAAGCTATTGTATATCAGCCCCTTTCAGA